AGATATATAAAATTACATTAGATATATAGAATACATTATATGTATATGTATATATATATATATATATATATTTTTTTTAATAAAATTAAATTAATTAAAAACTTTAAAATCTTCCGGAGTGTAGTCACATTTAGATAATTAGCGTATTACTCTTTTTTTCTCATTGTCCAAATAAACAAGATGAATATATGTGTCATACTAAAAAAAGAGTTTCTACAAACTGCAGGAAAATAGCGGAAGACGAAACAAATAATCTTACGTAAGCTGTTGTCACTGTCGACAGATAGAAATCTGCGAGTTAATATGATGCGATTCTTTGTGGAGCCAAGCATGAGATTTGATAACGTGAAGATATAAATACGTTCGCCGACTGTCGGTTGAACAATATGGTTTTAGTTAACAGACGGTTTCACACAATTAATTTTACAAGATGCGAATTTCACTTCCTGTGCTTCTGTGCCTTACTTTGGCTGCCTGCAGAAACATAGACTATCAGGATGACTTTGCCATGGGTAAACGAGAAGATGGCGATTTCCTCATTTCTAATAGAACGATTTTTAAGGTAAATTTCACTACTTCAATCGCAGTTATTCCCTGTATACGTTGAATTCGTAACAATTTATCTTAGAATTTTATACAAATCAGATTTTAATTACAAAAAAAACTTCAGAAACTTTTCTTGACTATACTTTAATTTACATAAACAAATGTTATAATCAGATCTCGTAGATATTAAAAGTATTGCATTCTATATGTTAAATCTTATCTGATATGTCTTAAATTTGCTGTTTAAATTTAATTCAACTTTATACTGTAATTTGTCACCAATTTACTTAAAACATTAGTAAAACAAAATAATGGTAGGACAAAATACTAGAGCACTATGCACAGCTACATTCACTTTATCAATTTATTCGTGAATTTTATCACTGATTGATTTTCAGATATTTAGACTTAGATAACCAAATAATGACATTCATATCTACCAATAATATTATTAATACTATTAATTCGTATTTATATATTATAGCCTCCCATTCCTTGGAAAGCTATGAGAGCAACGATCGGTATAAGTGCCCCAAAAAATGGAATGCTCACTTTTGTTAAAATCAGAAATTTAAAAGATCAACAGACAAAGTTTATACCAAGACCATATAGTCGAAAACATGTAGCAATAATCGTAGTGGGAAAGTTCGGAGAAGGAATGCTTGTACACATGGAAGGTTATGCAAAAAGCATTTTAACAACACCTGCTCCAAGCACGACTACTACTGAACCTAATGATAAAGACAACAGTAAATCTAGTAGCGAAGAAAGTAAAAGTACATCTGAAAGTAGCGAAGAAAGTAAAAGCACATCTGAAAATAGCGAAGAAAGTAAAAGCACATCTGAAAGTAGCGAAGAAAACAATGGCGATGGAAACAACGCATCCAACAACGGAAATGGAAATAATTCAGCTGAAGGTGGCGATGGAGGAAGCGCACCCAATGCTGGAGATGGAAACAATTCAGCCGAAAGTGGCGATGGAGGAAATAGCGCACCCAATACCGGGGATGGAAACAACAACTCAGCCGAAGGTGGCGATGGAGGAAATAGCGCACCCGATGCCGGGGATGGAAACAACAACAACTCAGTCGAAGGTGGCAATGGAGGAAACAGCGCACCCAATACCGGGGATGGTAACAACAATTCAGCCGAAGGTGGCGATGGAGGAAACAGCGCACCCAATGCCGGTGATGGGAACAACAATTCAGGCGAAGGTGGCGATGGAGGAAATAGCGCACCCGATGCTGGAGATGGAAATAACAACTCGGCCGAAGGTGGCGATGGAGGAAACAGCGCGCCCGATGCCGGGGATGGAAACAACAACTCAGCCGAAGGTGGCAATGAGGGAAATAGCGCACCCGATACCGGGGATGGAAACAACAATTCAGCTGAAGGTAGCGATGGAGGAAATAGCGCACCCAATGCTGGGGATGGAAACAACAATTCAGCCGAAGGTGGCGATGGAGGAAATAGCGC